GGTTAAACTGATCCGAATATTTCTAATCGCAATACTAAAAATATAGGGTTAATTGCAAATTGTACTTCGAAAGAACTCTCAAATCTCAATTTACATTCTCAAAAATATAATTTATATCAATATGCACTTGAAACTAATAGCCTTCGTCTAAATTAGTTGGGTAAGTTACACCTAAACCCCTTTAAGTTTATTATTTAATCATTTTGACCCCCTTCACATTTAGAATATTACTTCTACACCTCCTGACATACGTGCACGTGTAATACAAAATTTTTTGTTGTTGATATCTGTTAATATAACGGTTAAAAAATATATTTTCATTCTAGTAGAAAATTATAATTTTCATGCTATCTTTTATTTTGTAGGCTTGCTATATTCTAAAGTTCAAAATCAATTTTACTATTTGAATGTCTAATATAATGTAAGTATTTATACGATATTCTTTATATTCAATGCAATACATTACTCGAACATAATTATTTGGATGCCTAATTGGAGTAACATTTTTAGTCATATTTAGATTGTCAAGGGATATAAGTATAATATTTCAAATGTGAAGGTTTTAAGTGATTAAGTGACAAATATGAAAGGATCTAAATATAATTTATTTATTTAGTTTTAGACATCACACTTATTGTGACACTTAGTTTCGGGTATATATTAATATATATTTATATCTTTGAGAATGTAAATTAAAATTTTTAATCTTTAAAGATATTAATTAATATTTGAACAATCTTTTAAAATATAATTTCCATTATAACACACACAAACATACATACATATATATATATAATAAAATAGTGTTGAATTTGAATTTTATTGATAAAAAAGGTCTAAATTATTTTGAGATAAAACATAAACACATCAAACAAATAACGTAATTCCAATATAAAAGATCATCTGAATTATTTTAACCTAATAATTTATGGTGAATACTTAATTTTATTTTTTCGCCCAATAATATTTGCCGACTCACGCTCTCTCTCTCTCTCTCTCTCTCTCTCTCTCTCTCTCTCTCTCCCCTATTGGCCATGTCTATCCATAAATCCCCGATTCATGCATCAGTATCTTATCCCCAAATCTTCCTCTCCCTCCCTCCCTCCCTGCTATGTAAACGACTTCCCTCACATATCTCGATTTCATCTTATTTCCTCTCTGACTCTCTCTCCCTCTCTCTCTATCTCTCTTTCTCTCCACATACGCCTACAGGCTACATGACTCTTCAGGTGTTCTTGATCAATCCCGAGTGGCAACAACAATCATAGAACCAGCCCGTCCAATCGCCATGGCCATCGCCATGGCCATTACCAATCCAAACCCAAGACAACGAGTCTGCTTATCATTCGCAGCCTACGCCAAGAACCTCACTGACCATCTCTAGAACTCCGACGTATTCATCGAACAAGGCCTCAACGATGCTGAATTCTCCACCATAGAATCCTCCTTCCACTTCTTCCTATTGGCCCTGGCTTCCCCAATTGGCGATCTTGTTCGACCCAACAACTCGAAATCCTCACAAACCTACCGATTCTGGGTCTGTGCAAAGAAGTCTCGAGAAATAGCCAGAATTGCCTGAAATAGCCCGCCAGCGAAACACCACTGCCGCCTTAGGAGGTATCTTTCTCCCCTCTTATTATGCTCCTCTCATTCTCCTTTTCTTTTGTACACTGTAAACCACCACCCCACACCCCTTGAATCTCTATCCCCACATCACAACACTCCGACGACTCTCTCCCCCCTCTTTTTGTTCCCTAAAACCGCTCATAGCACGCACACACACTCTCTTCTTCAAAACCCCTCACAGCACACACATAGCACTGCGACAGCGATACCCCGTCACTCTTTGCCTCCACCCCTTCATTTAATCAACACACACCAGCTGTTCGATTGTTTGCTTCAAAGAAAATACACATATTACTTTGCTATATTTGTCCAATATATCCGGTATATGGCTATTTTGTTGTTTGATGAATTTCAGTGATTGGTAACCGGTGATCAAAGTGTGCTGTGTTCAGGGGCGGAGCCAGAAATTATGTATAAGGTAGACTATTTACTAAAATATTTTAATTTTTTTTCTTCAAATCAATACAAATAAAATAATATATTCAAATTTACTATATTGTATTCGATACTTAAAAATGCATAAAATATGAAAATGGTGAAACTTTGATAAATATAACATACATAAATAAAAACAAACAAAAAAGAGAGGCCAATTATACCCCTTCATAACAAATGAAGTAAACTGCATAAAAGATACTATAATATTTCTACATATATATGATTAAACTATTAGTCATTGATCAATCATTTAATTAAGTAACCTAGTTGCCATAATCTTTATAGCTTTTTTTTTTAATTGGAATCTCTATAGCTTAAAAAAAATGAGTTTTACATGTCAAAAACTTACATAGATGTATCCCTAAAATGTCCAAAGTGTGTAAAAAAATTCATAATTATTTAGGTACGGGGACTATACTAATTGATAGAACAAAAAATTATAGAATGGACACACTTAAATATACTTCAAATTATTTGAAATATACATAAGTAATATTTAAAAAAAAAAATTGAGGGTGGGCATGTGCCCCCCTGGTCCTCAAGTAGCTCCGCCCTTGGCTGTGTTTAATGGAGGAAAAAAATGATATCAAATGTGGGGAATGCATGGGGAATACTTCCCGGACAGTGTTTTGAGGTAGTGAGTTTTTAGGGTCCAGTTCTCCTTTCATTTTTCTCTCTATTTGATTGCACAAGTTTTCCAATCAAAATTCCTTTCATTTTTCTCTCTATTGATTGCACAAGTTTTCCAATAAAAGCTCAATACGATCATCCAATCAATATCAGTGAAGGAATCTATATCTACATTTTTGTTTAGTTTTATAACAGATGGCTGGTAATCTAGACCTGAGACATTCTCTACTTTGCAAAGCATCCTTTTTTCATATTATATTAACAACTAACTTACCTTTATATGGATTTCCCCTTGGGTTTGTGTCTGGCTTTGTGACTACTAACAATGTAACTAAACATGGGTTGATCTGTGCATTTATCTTTCTAATAGCTGGTCCAGAGCTAGGGCCGGCAATGAACTTGCATAAGATATTTAAAAGCTAGCAAAGAATCAATTACACCTGAGCTAAGTATGAGAAGGGTTGAGACTCTGATAAGGTGCTCCAAAAGCAAGGTCTAGTGGGACTTGGTGAGAGTTGAATGGATTAAGAAATTGGAGGGAGGTAGAGAGTTATTTTATGGCTTTGTCAATCAAACATTTTCGACAAGTTCAGGGTTTTGACATATACACAGGAAGTCTTACAACTGAATTAGAGTACCTTAGGTGAAAACATGTGTTGAGAGAGCTAGAGAGAGAAGGTTCTAAGCCTCAAATGATTTTGCAATGGAAACATGCACAGGGTAGGAGATGATGAAATTATTTAATTAGATGTTAAAAGCGAAGAAAGTGTCAAATGGGTGGCAAGAATATATTTTACTATGTTCAAATTAGGTGGTACTTTGCTAATGAGTTGTATAAACCATTGGTGGAGAATCCAAGATTAATGACTATGACTTGAATCTGTGGTATCAGAGCTTGACAGCGTTTATGCATGTGCAATCATCTAGGGTATCATCTCTATACTGAGGAGACTAATGGAGTAGGTTATGAAGATTATTATTTGCATTTGGTCTTTGCTGACTTGGAAATTCATATATGATTATGGAATGTATAATATGCTAGGCTCAAGAAAGAGATAGGAATCTGAAAAATAACAAGTTCAGATACCTTATGCCCAATCACACACAGGGATACATAGATTGGATAGGGTGCTGCTCATAGCATATATGAAGAAGGTTGCAGTGGAAAAGTCCTCGCAAGTTAAGATGCAACTGGGAGGCACCATATTGGTGCTAAGTGGATGTCCTATAATACAGCTATAAAACCAACATGCCATTTGGGTCACAAAGAGAGAGAGGAGGGGGAGGGGAAGGGAGAGGGAGAGGGAGAGGGAGAGACCTTCACTTGATTTTCGTTGGTGGTGGGGGGAGGAGGGGGAGGATTGTGGCCCATTAAGTAGTTAAACTGACATCTTGAGAAGATTCGTATGGGATACAAGGTAAAATAATCTTAGTGCAAGTGGGAGATTTGTGATATATGCCCTAAGGTCAATCATATAGATGATATAGGGCTTTACCAACAATATTTATGATTTAATTTTATAAATAAATGGTTCAATTTGAACTAATTCATTACGACAAACTACTCATTATTTGTCCATGTAGAGTTTTGTCGGACTGGGGCCAAAGTCAAATTGGTATTGTCTGCCAATGTGGTTCCGGGTTGCTACATCCGCGGTCTCGGGGTGAGTATTTATTTGTTTTTCTCTAAAATTATATACTTATGTGAAATGGAAACTGGGTAACTCGCTAAATTGGAAAATTTAAATATGTTGAAGTTAGTTTTGTTTAAAAGGTCTCTTTGTGTATTTATTGTCATGTATTGTGCTTGCCACTTGGTTAGTTTTCTTATTGTTTTGACTGTACAAGGGAGTAGCTTATGGTTTGATGAGCTTAGTATTTTCTTTTGAGACCTAATAAGGGTCATTTTGAATTATGTAATTTTGAAATAAGTAATTGGAGCCATGGTTCTTGATAATTTTAGTCTGATTAGTATTCACTTATAACTGCACATGGTCATGATTATCCGTTGTATGTTAAGGGTTGACAGTTTTCATAGGATTTTCCATGTGGATTCAATCATTGCGTCATAGCAATGTTGCACTTTGTGCCATAAGGGAAATTGAAGTCATTAAAGTACCTAACATGTGCTCTGATGCTTAAACATGACAACTACGCTGACATATGGGTGCTAGGACTACTGGGGTATCTAATCCCATTCGCTTCCCTAGCTTTCGTCTCTCGGTGTCAGTGTCGGCCCAGCCGAGTGCTTTCTCCGTTGGTGTTCTTTCCGATCTCTACGCATTTCACCGCTACACCAGAAATTTCCTCTGCCCTTATCGTACTCCAGCTTGGTAGTTTCCACCGCCTGTGTTTAGTCTTTTTTATCCTTGGAATTAATTAAATTTGGTAGATGTATGATATGAGAAAAATGTTACTTAAGCAAGGAGGTTGAATATAAGATACTCAAAGAAATAAAATGGGATGATGTTCAAATCGAAAGATGTAGAAACAATAAAGATGCACCGGAATTGAGTAAGGTAAAAATAGCATTGAATTGAGAAAAAGTGAATTGGTTAGGTTTGGTGTCATGAAATTGGATTAGTTGTTATCAATTGAATGAGCATGGTATTTCAACATTTATATTGCCATTGCTTTATGCTAGCTTACGTGAAGGAAATTGTAATTCTTTTGTGTTCTCTTTTAAGAATTGAAAATTTAATTGCACTCATTTAGGAAAAGTAAATAGATGTCTGTTGTGTTGGATTCAAGCTCAATCTGCCTTTTTTATATTAGAACTTAGGTGTCGTTTATTTTGTTTTACATTATGTTGGGCTAGAAATCAAAATTGCAATGAACTCATGGATTGTGATAGATTGGAATTAACAGCGAATTTGAATCAGGCACGTGTACACTATGATTTTTTATTTTTATTATTGGAGATTTTTGTGTTATGTAGTATATTTGAGCATGAGCAATTGATTGCGATATTTTTGTTTGTTGCATAGTGGCTTCAGGCACAGACAATTATTAGTATATATATATTGTATACGATCCTATTTTTATTGGACTAAAATGGAAAAGATGTTTTACCCTAGTCCTTGTGGCACAATAGCAGTCATGCACATATAAAAACTCGTGTAGCATTCTGGCAATGGCAGATTCATAATTCTTACCATTAAATCCTCAGAATCTGTAAACTGTCTCGATTCACCTAAATTGGTTTGAAGAACACTATCAGGGAGACTCCACCGTTCTTCTTTCAAGGTCAATCAAGGGCTCCTTCAAACTTTGTCGTCAAATATGCCAGGTCTCTCTCTCTCTCTCTCTCTCTATCTATCTATCTCTCTGAGATGTTGACAAGAATAAGGCCAGATATTGTGCTTTAATGTTTTAGTGTCACTACCTGATAGAATTGTTTCTGGGATCAAAGCGAAATCTTGTGTTTTAGTATTTCTTGTTGAATTTGTAATTTAGGATGATGAATGAGAGGTTAGGGATGAGTTTTGCTGTTTTTAGCTTCAATGGAGTTCAATTGAGGGAGAATAGATTAAGATGGTTTGGTTATATTCAACGGAGTCAATGGTGATATAATTTTTCTTAATGGTGGTAGGAATATGGTAGACCTAAATTAACATTGAATAAAATAATAAAAAAATATATGAAAATATTTGCCTTAAATGAGTGTATAATGTATAACTAAAATAAATGACGAAGACAGATTTGTATACGAAATAATTGAGACATAGACTACTGATTTTTGTTGTATAAAATTTCAAGTAGAGTCGAATTTAGGAGTATTTGGAACTAGGTTTTATGGAATTTTAATAAAAGAAATGACTACATGCGTTATTTGGGAGTTTTTTTTTTTGAAACATAAGTTTTGTTATATCCAGACTTAGACTATTATTTTTTTTGAAAATTTTCAACTGGAGTTGAATTTAGGAGTATTTGGAACTGGGTTTTATGGAATGTTCATAAAAGTGAAGAGTATATTCCTGATGGAGTTTCTGTGGTTCTTTAAAGTTTCTTATTTTTTACTTTTATGTGAACAAGGAACATCTAGATTTTGATGTAGAATAAGTAGCTACTGTGCATTATTCTTTAAACAAATTTGGAGAATATAGCAATTTTGAACTTATTTTTTAAAAAGTATGTTTTGTAGAAAGAGATAACTGTTAATTAATGAGTTTGGGAACTTATACTCCCATGCCACGGCTCGAGATTATGTAACTTCAGGTTAACTTATAGTCATTCTTTTCTCGTTTGGATGAGAAATAAGAGGAGCCTACGAAGTTGTTTATTGAGAGCCTACATGGGAAGGTTTCTATCAACTGTCCAAACTCCAAAGTGCTAGATACTTGGTGATATTCTTTAGAGCATACTGAAATGTATTTGTCAAGTTGATCATTGTTTAGCAGAGCTGCAGAGGATCTATTTTTAAAATTTTTCCCCATCTAGTACTATGTTTCTCTTTATATCTTGTGTCATTGTGCATGTTCTTTTTAGCTCTTGGGTACAAGTTTCTACCTACCTTTTAAAGTTTCAGGAACTTAATAGTCAATTGCGATAGCATGATGTGTTGGAAAACTCAAACTTGTAGGTTTTCAGTTATCCGTAGATGTTACAATAATTGCTAAATTGGTTGTTTGTTTCTTTGTTTGCTTAGGTTTTATTTTGAAATCATAAAATTGAAACCCTCCTTTTCCAGGAGATTCCTAAACCTTTTTTTTTTTGGCATTTGCTTTATTTCCTTATGCAGATAACGAATATGCAATATTGGTAAAAGATGAAACTTCAACTTATCAGCCACCAGTATTGGTAAAAGATGGAACTGCAACTGATCAGCCACCAACTTTGCTAAAAGATGGACTTTCAACTGATCAGCCACCAACTTTGGTAAAAGATGGAACTTCAACTGATCTGCCACCATTGATCAAGCTTAGGCACTGGCAATCGTGGCTTATGATGGCTCTTAACATATTTTTCCTTCTGGCTGGTCAAGCTGCTGCCATTCTTCTGGGAAGATCTTATTATGAACATGATGGAAATAGTAAATGGATGGCTACCCTTGTTCAAACTGCCGCTTTCCCTATCCTTCTAATCCCATATTTTCTTTTTGCCTCCTCCCACGAGCCTTCAAGTGTGTCTCATCCACCTGCTCTTAAAACTGTATCCTTAGTCTACTTCGTTCTTGGTGTTCTCCTTGCAGGGGATAACATGCTGTATTCCGTCGGACTACTGTACCTATCAGCCTCTACTTATTCTCTCATTTGTGCAACCCAGTTGGCCTTTAATGCAATTTTCTCTTTCATCATTAATCATCAGAAATTTACTGCTCTAATTCTCAATTCTGTTGTTGTGCTTTCATTATCTGCTTCTCTTCTTGGTGTCAATGATGATTCTGATGGACCTTCAGGTGTTTCTAATTCGAAATATATCCTTGGATTTCTGTGTACCCTTGGAGCTTCAGCTCTTTACTCTCTTTTACTTTCCCTAATGCAGCTTTCATTCCACAAAGTTTTGAAAAAGGAAACTTATTCTGTGGTTTTGGAAATGCAAATTTATACATCAGCTGTAGCCACATGTGTCTCTGTTGTTGGCCTTTTTGCAAGTGGGGAATGGAGAACGTTACATGGAGAAATGAATGGTTATGGTACGGGGAAAGTTTCTTATGTGATGACATTGGTGTGGACTGCCATGGCTTGGCAGGTTTGCTCTGTTGGTGTTGTAGGCTTGATTTTTGTGGTGTCTTCTCTTTTCTCTAATGTTATTAGTACTCTATCCTTGGCTCTTACTCCTATTGCTGCTGTGATTGTGTTCCATGACAAGATGAATGGGGTAAAGGTAATTGCTTTGCTAATGGCTCTCTGGGGTTTCACCTCTTATATTTATCAGAACTATCTTGATGATCTTAAGGAGAAGAAAGCACAAGCTGATGTTAATGGTGCCCCTAATGGTTCTTCTTGTCAATGACTCTGGGAGTATTTTGGCATTTTTTTGGTTGCTGCTATATCTATTTTGAAAGTTGTATTATTGATCTGGTGATGATACCTTTTCTGGAACTTTACTGTCCAGTCCCATTAGTATCTTTACCCTGCCTATCAGTTATGGGATTTATGGTTGTCCTCGGGAAACAAAGTCTTTCCATTGTGTCTTACATAGCATCATTGTTGGGTCCATTTTCTATTTGTTGGAGTTGTGATGGGCGTGGTGCTGTTTAGCGAGCAGGTTTATTTGAAGCAACAGGGATACATTACAATCACTCGTTCTGTTGACTCATAGTTGCAACGTAAACCTCAAACACACGACGGGGTTTTATGCAGCTAGAGAGATACAAACTCAGGACATTGCAGGTCTGCAACTCTTCCCTTGTCCCTTGTTTGATTGTTGAACCAACTCATAAGGGTTGGGTAGGTTCTTTTCGTTTTAATTATTGTTTGCACATCTTGTTACAGTGTTGGAGCATATTTGGAAGCAATTTATCGGGAGGACAGTATATAGTTTGAATGGTGAATTCTTGTTGGTTGCCTACAGTTTATTTGTTGGATCATATTTATGTGTTTGTATCTTAAAACTTCAATTTTTATTGTTTTAAGCTATTTAGTGATTTGATTTTTAGTACACTCAAAGGTCGTATCCAGACAATGAGATTTTTGCTTATAGCAGATCTGATCAGGGATATCGTAGATTCCTTGCTTTCAATTTTTAGAGAGGCTGTTGTGCAATATACTTCGAAATGTTTTAAAAATACATTATACCCTGTCAAATTCAGTATTAATAGGTATTTTTTATACCATTTTATCATTAGTGGTTGAAATATAGTCTTAAATTGGAAAATACTGATTCAGTTTTTAACACATTTGAAAGCAGGTCTTAACTAATATTGGAGGGTTTTTTTGCAGGTTTTGATACAACAATTTCAGAGGACATCCTTGTTTTTCAACCTTGGTTGGGAAATTGATGATAACTTGGGTAGTGATTGCACCCATAACTTGGTTTTTTTTACCCAAGTTAAGTGATGTAGAATAGATGATAATAGAGTTTTTGAAAGAGTCGAATCAATAAAAAACCTAAAGGCTAGTACACATAAAATGTCTCCAAATCGGAATCGTGTGAAATTTGATTGTCCAATTGGAAAAACCCAAACAATTGTTTGTGCTTACTCAATGGTTTGCCTCAAGTTTGTTCATATATCTCAAATTTGATGCTAGTAAAGTAGGTAATTGTCATTATAATAACAGAAAGCCTATAGTTTTCCAAAGCATAGTCTTCACATTCTTATGCTTTTGCATTGAGTGTGGCCAATGAACATACATTTGGATTGCCCAACTATTTAGCCTCTTTTTGTTTATTAATTGTCCATCCCGTCCCATCAGTATACAATCTTTGGGGTAACCAATGTCTTAATTTCACATTTCGAAATCATATTGTACAGACTTTACAATAAAGTAAGGAATTTAGTACCTTCACAACACTTCATTCAAAATCCACTTCCTTTGCGACACGTACCTGTGTGGGACCCACCCAAGACAACGAACTCTTATGGTTTGTCCCTTGTCTTAAGTATGATTATTACAAAATCATAAACCACTTTTTAAACTTCAGTTCAAAGAATCAAGGAAAGCCTAGTTTAGTGGAGGCCTTAGAACATGGGAGATCATGGTTTGTTCTATAGTTAATAAAAGGGAATGGACCACAAACATACCCTTGCATTTAGGAGCTTGCTGATTGAGTGTGCATTATTCTTCTTGCTAATCATTTATTATATATATGAATAACAAATTTAAGAATGGACAGAGCTATAGGTACCACTTAAATGCTTCACAAATAAGAAAGGACATGATGCAGAGTTCACGGTGATCGTTTGATTTATTAATTTTTATAAAAGTTATACAACAAAGAAAAATACAATAATATGTTAGTAAAAAAACTCATGTAGGCAGATCTCGATGTAGTAATAAGGTTATTGCATTGTGATTTGAGCGTCAAAGAAATAATCTCTCTCTCTCTCTCTCTCTCTCTCTCTACATGTTAGATTAAGACTGTCCTTCTAATGTAAACCCTCCAGTGACGAAAATTTGTACACTGGACTATCTTTTATAGGTTGATAAGAATATTCTGACAATAAGTTTTGAAGTGGTAGGCTGGAGAATTTATTGATTCCATAATGATTAAATGAATAGCTAAACAAGAAAAATTTTCCTTTTAACTTTAATGGGGCACATTTTTAATACTTAAATTCAAAGAATTTAGAGAAGTTTACTCTAATGAAAGGTTGAGAATATGGAAGATCAATGTTTGTTGAATTTATAGACATAATGAAATGGTATAGACCACCAGTATTACACCAAGAATTGACAAGCAGATTATTTTTCTAGTTGGCTATGTTGATATAACTTAGATAGGGAAAATATACTTTACTATAGGTAGGATTGAACTTTCAAATCCAGGGGCCTTACCCCCTCCCTCTCTCCCTTACTCGTCCTTTGAAAGCCAGAACATTTGCATAGGAGGGTATATGTGTGAGGGGTGTATGTATCACACATGATCCTCCACTGATGACAAAATGACAAATTTATAGACATAATGAAATGGAATAGACCAGCACTATGTTCTTGCATTTGGCAGCTAGAGGGTTACATGTGCATTGCACTTGTAAATAAAGGAGGAGAGAAAGAGAAATTAAAGGTACTAACTAAGCAAAGTTGCAAATATGTATAGATATACTTAGTTGGAACTTATGGTTTGTGCCTACACAACTCACACCTAGACGCGAGTGGGTTATGACTTAAAATTTGTTAGGTGAACCCGGAAAAGTTCCCGAGTTCAAATCTACAGTGATTCAAATTTAAAAACGAGTAAATTTCTCGTGTATCGATCAGAGTCCATTCACATAAATGCGAAACGTTGAGACGTGTTCGGAGCTTTGGACTCTCATTGGTGTGTATTGGTCGAATCACAGTTATTCGTGAGGTCATGTGGATTAACTTTATCAAGCTTGCAATCTTGGGGTTACCTCTTTCTTTTTTGACAAAAATCTTGATATTTTTTAGGAGCGATAATTTTTGATACAACACAAAAATATGAGTTGAAATTAACACGAAATTAGCGGGTTAGGGTTGATCATTTATTTACATGAACCTGTAAATGACACGACTTGTGAACATGAACAATAAATTGGTTGGATTAGTGTCAAACACAAATAATACGAAATTGACACAACTAACACATTTAACTAATAATTATAGGAATAAAATGTCATTTTTTTTATCAAGTATTGACATAATTCTTATACAAAAAATAAATATTTTTACTCGTTTTTGTAATTATATTTATTAAATTAATTTTTAGTTTATAAAAAAAATATGAGTGTGCATTCCATTAAGTCATAATGTATTCTTAAACTTAGATCTTAGCTCTAAATTTTTGATTCATAAGTTACATGGGTCAACATGAACAAAATATGAAAATAAACAAGTAAAATTGACACGAATTAGTTAAATGAGTTGGGTTAAGGTTAGCTAGTGATTGACACAAACTCGTAAATAACACAACACCAATATGCCCAGCACCATACGATTATCACCCCTAATATTTATGGTAACCAAACTAGGAATTATGTAACCCAAAAACAAAACAATTTGATTTCATAGCCTTGTCGGTTTGTTGAGTTGAGCTGGTCAAAGCAAAAGCTGAATAAGTAATTATTTTTATAAATATCTTAAATTTATACAAACTTCTTAGGCTGCTATGTACATTGTTCAAACGTAAAAATCTCTTTTTGTTTCTCAAGTGACATAGTTTAATGGATAATATCAAATTTGAATTTTGTAAGAGAATTCTGACCGAGTTGATACATGTGTTTTATTTTTATAGATTGTGCTAATTATTCTCTCAAGCTCAATAGTTGTCCACTGTGGTTTAGAGCATATTTCCAAATGGACAAGAGTAACTAACTCTTAAAAGGGGTGAAAAAAGAGATTGAATTTGTGACTTCTCAGTTACCAAAAAACAGACCCAAATACTAGACCACCATTCAGGATTAGTTGATATATGAAATTTATGAGCAATAACATGCACCCATTGAATTTGTCACCTTTGAGTTATCAAAGAAAAGACCCAAATACTAGACCACCCTTCAGGGTTAGTTGATATATGTAATTTACAAACAATAACATGAATCCTGAGTATACAAAGCAATCACGAGTTCAAAAATTCTTAGGGCTAGTTTAATGGTTGAGTCTGATTTTTGATAATTTAGAGATCTAAAGTTCAATTCATTCTCATATCGTTTAGGGGATAGTCACAGTGATTAACCATTAAACTCAAAAGAATAATCGATGCTAGCCTGAATACATTGTAGTAAAAAAAAACAATTACGAGTTCAAAAAACTCGGGATTGAGTAGGATACTTAGTTAACAGAAATAGAAATATAAAACAAAATAATAATTTATTAGTTGTTGGAACTTTATCTTAGGTTGTATGTGAGCACAATTATTGATCTTTAGAAACATTAATTTACATTACTTCCCCTAATTAGCGGCAGAAGTATGCCCCCACCCACCAAATAACTAGGCCTGACAATTTTAGACACAACTAGTGAAATCGACATGAACCCGACACGGATTTAGCAGGTTTAGGTGTAGTTTTAACAACTTCGAGTGATTAACGGGTTAACTCGGCAGACCCGTGAAATAAATGAATCGATTTCGTGTTTAACTCATAAACTCGTTTAACCCGTTAATAGTAGTACTATAATTTTTTTTAAAAAAAAATTATGTCTCTCAGCCTCTGCATCATCTCACACCTTCCATTTCTCAGACTCATTCAAATTTAATATTTATTTTTTGCCTTTATTTTTTTGTTCATCCATGATTTATTGTTATAATAAACAGGTCAAACATATATAATATATGACAAGTTGATGATTTTTCGTGTAGACTTGAAATACTCTAATATATTCTCTTATTTAGAATGTGACACACGGGTTGTATCGGGTAACCCGTCTAATAAACGATTTGTGTATGGATATGATAGTTGAACTCGTTTACATAAACAAATGGGGTATGGATGAAGGGTTTTTTGACATAAACTCGTTCCACCCGACACGATTGTCAGGCCTACAAATAACTATGCAGCACAATCATCTTGTTAGATCTTAATAATTTAATTTCTGCAACAACTTTTTGCATTAATTACTTGCATTGACAGAATGTTTTTATTTTTTAGTCGCATTTATAAATAGAGGTTTTTTTTCTTCAACCGTCAGGGATGTTTGGATCAGTTTACGCGTACTTCGACTTATCCCCTTATCGGTCTAGACAAAGACAAGTCATCCAATCCACGCGGTATGGTCTAACCCTAAAGAATTGTCAAGATTTGAGTTCAGGACAACTAGATTTACAGTTCGTTCCTATTATCACTTGAACTACTCATTTGGTTTAATAGAGTAATATTATTGAGCGTTAAAAAAATGAGCAATGCTATTGGGATCTAATTTATTGATCTTATTTGTTGATCTAAATTATCTTTGGATTGACTGTGAGACTCATCAAACATTAGAATTTAGTGTTGATTCAATAGTTCTACTGAAATCACATCATTGTGTCAGTAAATTAGTTTAAAATTTTAAATTCAAATAGCATTACTCTAAGAAAAGTGATCTAATTTATTAATTTAATGATGTGTAAATTAATAAAGTCCCAATAAAAAAGTTCAATAATATTATTAGACCATACAACTATCACATCATTAAGTCAAAAAATTATATCAAATTTTTAGGTTCGACCCTATAA